GGGGCGTTGGCCCCGCCCGGCCCGCCGCGATTAACGTGCGTGGCACTTTTCAGTCAACCTGGGCGGGGAGGCGCTGCGGGACCAGCCCGAGCTGCAGTTGGCTGCTGTCACTGCAGGCACCCGCCGGGCCCCGCTAGCAAAGCGGGCGGGGGAGTTGAAGCTGTTCACTGTTCAGGAGATTTGGTAATTATTGCCTCTGCCAGGCACTGGCATCGCCCCTCTCCCTTCTGATACGAGATCCTTGGCAGAGGCCTCCCTTTCAAGGTACCAGGGGAAGGGGAAGATGAAGGGCCTGCAATAGTGCTGGGCCATGTGAATTCCCGCCGGGCCCCGCTAGCAAAGCGGGCGGGGGAGTTGAAGCTGTTCACTGTTCAGGAGATTTGGTAATTATTGCCTCTGCCAGGCACTGGCATCGCCCCTCTCCCTTCTGATACGAGATCCTTGGCAGAGGCCTCCCTTTCAAGGTACCAGGGGAAGGGGAAGATGAAGGGCCTGCAATAGTGCTGGGCCATGTGAATTTCCTTCCGGCCGGCTGAGCCCTTGGAGCAGAGAGCACAAGCTCTGACACTTCTATTGGTTTCCTTATTTATTCTGCAGGGTGGAATTGTCTGGCCCCCGGCATGCTTGTCCATGCCATGCCCTCAGCTTGCAGTGTCCCAGGTTGAAATGCTGTGGCTCCAGCACGGTGCTCTGGGAAGCTGCCCAAAATTTAACCAAAAATAGTTTACCTCTGTGAGGGAAGGGAGGCTTCTTAGCATCTATTTACAGCAGCGGAAACTGAGGCACCGAGCACTAAAGTGACTCTCCCAAGGTCACACAGGAAATATGTCAGGTCCCCAGACTGCTATTCCAGTGCTTTTAACAGGATAAAACTTCCTTCTGCCAGCATACAATAGAATTCAAGGAGCAGGTACAAAAGCCATTGCACACAGAGGATCAATCTCCCCCTTACACTAATGTAGTTGTTTTCTGTGCAGTTGCAGGAGTGTATTCTGAAGGGAAAGTTTGCACTTTATTTGCTACAATTTATCAGACTCGGTCCTTTTGCTCCAGGCCCTATGGGGATTTTATTCAAAACATACAAATGTCCCAATGTCAGAAAATTCTCCTCAGACCATTTGGAGTTCTACTGTGGCAACCCACTAGGCCACTAAAACTTTCCCCTAAATCACAAAGACATTCCCACTTCAGCTTTACTCTAGACAGCTTTGAAGTAGAACTAGGTTTAAAAAAAGCTGAGATAGGCAAAGAAAAGTGGGAGAGGGGGGAAGAAAGGTGGTTCTTTGACCATCCAACCTGTCAGGGTGTGACACAAGCAGAATGCGTGACACAAATGAGTAATCTGACTGCTACTGTATCTTGTGTTACACCATAACTAACCAATTATGAATTTTATTTTACTATAAAGCCCCTTTAAAGGGTTTTTTTCACAAAGTGAATTAAATAAATAACATACAAATAAACAACCCAACCCACCTCAGAAAAACAAGCCCATCTTTTGAGAAACCACACCCCTCTCCAGGTCCAGGTCTGAATCCTGGACCTCCACAACCCCATCACAGATTGGTGAGCTAGCTGAGCTTCTGGGGAGATTACCAGCCTATGCTGTCCAAGTAGAAGATTTGACAAGCTTTCCAGTGGCTTCCGCAACTCTTTGATGACAGCAGAAGCACAATGGTGATAAAGAATCCCAGGTTCCAGGCTTAGCTGGGGGCAGGGAGCATGGTGGTGTGGTTACAGATAGGAAAACCACAGCACATAGACTTGGTTCATGCATGAAGAAAGGCAGCATGGCTAACGTGATCACATTTCGCTTTGCTTTCGGACACATCTACACAGCAGGGCAAAACTCATATTATGATCACATTTCGCTTTGCTTTAGGACACATCTACACAGCAGGGCAAAACTCATATTAAGCTACATAACTTCAGCAACGTCAATTGCATAGTTGCAATCAAAATAGCTTAATTCAGCTTTTGGCACAGTCTACACAGCAGGAAGCCTAAGGAAGAACACTCTTCCTTCAACTTCCCTTACTCCTTGGGAAATGAGGGTTACAGGAGTCAGAGTAAGAAATCCAGCTCAACATTATTTCGAAATAAAGGCTTGCTGTGTAGATGTGCTTTGTTAATTCAGAATAACACCAGTTATTCTGAAATAACGTTGCTATGTAGACATAGCCTCAGAGACCAGGGGTTCAATTGTCAGTCTGCTTGAAATGACATGAAACCACTGCTTTGCTAACCTATACATAAAATAGAGAATGGACTTATATTTGACTGCCTTTTAGGGCTGTGATATGAAGCTTTGTTCAGTGATAAGAGCTTGCAAATATGCTGAGGTATAAACAACTGTCACTACAACTGAAACCACAGGTCATGAGCTCATGACTCCCCGCTCAGTACCTCTTCCTTTAGACATAGGGTAGCTGGATGAAAAGTTTCTCTTAAAGCAAGCAGCCTGAGCTCCACTGTGGCACATTCTGCATAAACTGGTACAAACACTCCTAGTTCAGGTTGAACCTCTCTAATCCAGAACACTGTCATCCAGAAACATCCGTCATCTGTCATGATTTTAGTTAACCAGATGTCCACTTATCATGGGTGTGGCTAAATTTCCCACAGTCCCATAAAGTTTGTTTACAGCCATCAGTCCTAGCTCTCAGTGTTGTGCTGCTATTTAGCTCTAATTTACCCCTCCATGTCCTCTAACAGCACAGTAAGCAGTGAAAGTGTTGGTAATACTGCTAGACGATGCTGGTCTCCCATGGTTCAGAAAATTCTCTCATATGGAACCGGTCACATTCTGAGGGTGCCAGACTAGAGAGTTTCAACCTGCAGTATTCTTCAGCTTTGTCCACTCACATCAAATGAAATCCCATTCATAGTAGACTGGGCAATCATTCCTAAGTTTCTTTGGGTGTGTGTTGTCACTTAATCATTAGGTTTCAGAGTAAAAAACCTATTGATACAAATGGGACAGTTCTCCCTTCTTTCCTGGTTATTTTTAATCCATGTGTGGACTCAGGCAATAAAAACTGAATTGGTTAAGTTTGCTACTACATATCTATGGGCAGTGCTAGAGTGGAAATCATATTTAATTCTCTTCTGACCTTAGCATGTGGGAAATATAAAAGAGTTTCCTTCAGCTCCCAGACAAAAAACTCCAACAGATTGTGTGTTCAGTAGAGGTAAACTTTTTAGCTTGTATGTTAAGTAGAACTAAAGCTTTCCCAGAGAAATTACAATTATTACTACATTCTATAAACATGGAAAAGTATGGTAAAAGTGTAAAATTTGTTTAAAAAATAAAGAATTAAAAAGGAAAAATCAGTACCATTAAATGCAAACAAAAGGAAAGGAGAATTTTTGTTCTGGAAACAGAGGTAAAACCTTAAATTTAATAAAGCCAAATTATATTAGCATAATATATTTTAGCGGTATGGAAGATTTCTATTTTAAAAGTGTACTTGCTCCTGCTTCTTGGCTTGAAAGGGAAGAATGCTGAACCCTTAACCCACACAGAGCTAAAGCAAAGTAATTTAACGTTCACAATACAGTGTAGCGTGGCTGCACTCAGCACATACAGTGCTGTAACATTAGTGCAGAATTTGTATGCTGGTATCTCAGAGCTGTGAAACTGGTCAAAAACAAACAATCTGAAGATTAAAACACAAAAGCCAAACCATAGGGATACCAAGAATTGCCTGTCTTGTTTTTGTTGGCAGTTCCCCTTTGAAATTATTTATATGATGTGGTACAGTACAATTTAAAAAAATTATGAAAGTGTGTTAGAGGTTTGAATTGAACAAGTATCAATAGAAATCAAGTGTGTTTTAAACAGACTGAATAAAAATCACTTCCCCTGCCACATATCTTTCCCCGTCAGTTAATTTAGAAACCAGCAATGTGTATGAATAGACCCAATTAAGCCTTCCAACGAACATTAGCTTGCACTTGTTTTTTAATTGACATCACTGTGTCCAGGTATATACCTTCTCTAGTCTTGACTAACTTTAGTAATAACCTGAAAATTCTCATTTCATTCTTCTCTTTCTACAGATCCTTTATATATAAATACAGGTATTGGCATGGATGATAGGGATATCCAGTTATGAATTTTTTGCTTTCCAATATACAGGCACTAAAAGTTTTTGAATCAGTGAACACTCTCCACTTCACTCCAATCAGTAAAAATTCACCAGCTTTTATTTGTCTGTATTTCACAGAAAAAAAATCAGTTCATGTTGATTCAGGAGTATAAAGTTGCTTTTGTTTCTTGATATAAATTCCACCTTCCCCAACTCAGGAGAAAGACTCACTGAAGACACATTTCAGTCACTTTTACATTTCCCCCCTTTGCAGTACCTGCCATTGGTGTGATACCATAAACTTAGTTTTACACAGTGGTTTCAAACCTGAAGCATCAATGCACAGATGCAGCTAAATTCTCCACTACAGTACAATGGTGGCTTTTATTTGGCTTTAGGCATGTCTCTGCCCTCTCTAGTCTGTTGCCTAAAAGAGTTTATTCCCTTTTGCCAATTTCTCCCTTTCCCTCTGCTCCTAGCAGCAGCTCACTCATTCTGGGCACTCTCAGTCTGGGGCTTGGGAGGAATAGGATCTCTGGAGGCTGAATACACAACTCATTAACAGTCCTATTCATTTTGAGAAAAAGGATTTGATCCTAGTCAGCTAGTCATTTACACCATTTTTTTTTTAAAAACAGACAGTTCTAAGATAGTGGTTCTAAAATTAATTTTGTAACTGGTGCTGAACTGACAGTGCTGGCCCCTTTGCTTATCTACAGCATCGCTACAAAAAGGGCAGCCACAGAGCAAGCTTTCCAACGCAGACAGCTCCTGCCAACGGATCCTAGCCTGGCCTACTACAATGACCTAGAAGTGAGTGGGCAGTTCAGGATATAGGGCACAGGTTCCATTTATTCCATGAATTTAATTTTGTAACTGGTGCTGAACTGACAGTGCTGGCCCCTTTGCTTATCTACAGCATCGCTACAAAAAGGGCAGCCACAGAGCAAGCTTTCCAACGCAGACAGCTCCTGCCAACGGATCCTAGCCTGGCCTACTACAATGACCTAGAAGTGAGTGGGCAGTTCAGGATATAGGGCACAGGTTCCATTTATTCCATGAATTATTTGTTGATACTGCCAAAGAGAGGCAGAGTTCCAATGGTCATGATGGTTTCTGAAACATGGACATGTATAGGTCAGGAAATGGATAGAGTCCCACTCATTTCCATTACCAAAGTCAGCTGTATTTAAGTGGGGATCAAGTGGTGCAAGGTTCTCTTCTCCATTTTCAATGTCTTGGGCAGTCCAGGTCTCTAGTACATACTTCTATTCTGGGGACATTCAGCCACCACATTCAGCATAGTGCCACTGGACTTTATGAAACAGCTGTCTTTCTCTAGGAGGTTGCACATAAGAGGGAAGAATTTTATGAAGCCTGTGATTTCCTCTCCTGCTGGCACAATCAGGAATGCAACAACTCTGACATCCCAATGACCCTGGCTTTTATTTCAACTTTTTATGTTGCTCTATGAAAATAGGCAGTTTGGTCAGCTTGACTGTTCTGGTTTTGTGAGTTTTGTTTGGAAATTGTGCTTCCGTGTGCCTTTCAATGGCTTGAGCCCGATTCCACTGGATGGTGTGATAATCACATGGAAAATCATCTTTGATTGTTCTTTTCTGGTTTTCCAAAACAAAGAAAATTCTCTCTCAGCCTCTGAGATGGGAGATGATGAACAAAAGCTATATCTCAGGGAATTAGAGAATTTGCAACTATTCAGAAGGTTCTAGTGAAACCCCACTACTCTCCTTACTTCCTGATACACAGGGGCAGCTAGTTCTTTGGCTTTCTCTGCTCCAGCCTGTAAAACCTTCTGCAAGTGGCTTTTGTCCTCCTGGAGCCTCTTAATTTCGGTCCTGATTGGTGCAAATTTCTGAATAACTGCCTCTGCCACTACCCCTTTGAAGTGAGCAGTGTCAAGACCAACACACTGGTGCACCACTTCCTTTATGCTGAGTCCTGTTACTGCAGCATGAATGGCCACCATATTGGAGACACCCGGACGAGAATCTGGGTCATAGGTGACTTCAGAGGTGAAATCAGTCACAGCCTTGCGGAATTTCAGAACAATCTCCTCAGGACTGTCTGTGACGTTGAGTGCGCCTAACTTCTGAGGGTCTGACTTAGACATCTTGGCTGTTGGATCCCTGAGAGACTTTACCTTCTTTGTTGTACCTAAAAACACAGATAATGATCTTCTATTAATGCTTATTGGGCACTTTTACTACAACCTACAGCAGGTTGCCCTGGCTGCTTGCCCCAGTTTAACCATTATTTCCCCAAGCATTACAAATACATCCTTGATCTTCATTTTCTCTCACCAAAAGCACCCACCCCCATTCCTCTCCCCACTCTGCACCATAATCACCCAAAGAATCGGAACCTAGATTCCCCCTTTCCCCCAGTTACCTACTGCTGCTGGGATGATTCTCTGCTATTGTCTACTATGCCTCTATGCCGATTTCCCCACCAATAATCCACTTCCTCTTTTAGGTACCTGATATTGGGTAGGTGAGTAACCCGGGGAGCACAAATTACAAGTCTGTGAGGGTTCCCATATAGGAAAGATAGGTCAGATCAGACTTCAGAGGAGAATCACAAAATGATCAGACTCCTCACCATAAGAAGCTGTCCCACATAAGAAGCCCCTCAAAGTCTCCTAGAGCTCCTTAGAAATAGCTCCCTCCCAGCTGTTATCTACCCCAAAACCAGGCATGGGGAAAATGTTGCTTAGATGATAGCAGGATGGTAGCTCTTAAACATAACCGATATACACTCATGAATGCAATACAGGATACCATTATTAACAAGCACTTGGCAATATTCATCTCATCACAGCACTCCATTAATTTGCAGTCTCATTCCATGATTATTATACATGAAATGGGCCGTAAGCCATGGTCAAATTACTAGAATGCATAGCACAGAATCTTTGTTACATAGATTGCAGTGTTTGAGCTCAAATTGCACACAAAACACTGCACCAAGGTTTGTAACGCCCAATATTCTCAAGGGTGATCTCTTATTTTTAAGTGATAGAGATGTAGCCGTGTTAGTCTGGTGTAGCTGAAACAAAATACAGGACTATGTAGCACTTTAAAGACTAACAAGATGGTTTATTAGATGATGAGCTTTCGTGGGCCAGACCCACTTCCTCTTTGATCTGAAGAAGTGGGTCTGGCCCACGAAAGCTCATCATCTAATAAACCATCTTTTTATTTTTAAGTGGTGCTTTAAAGCTGAAATAGGGCTATTAATGATACCTTGGCACTGTAACCCTTTCTAAGGGGAGAACACCCTGCTCCTGGGGGGACTGTACATTCCTCTAGCTTATGAACTAATGCAATGATACAACTCTTTTTCTGTACAGGCAGTCCCCGGGTTACGTACAAGATAGGGACTGTAGGTTTGTTCTTAAGTTGAATCTGTATGTAAGTCGGAACTGGCATCAGCCGCTGCTGAAACTGATC